CCCCAAAACCCCAAAACCCCAAAACCCCACGATTAGTATATAATATTGAAGTAAGGATTTTTAGCAAGCTAGAGGGGGAGAGGTAATGGAGGTCTCAAGGAAAGACTTGTGGTGTTTTGTTATGTGTAGAAGTATTGAATGATCTTTAGTGCCCTCCCTTAGAGTATATAGTAACTCCTGATCAACTCTTTGTCAAACTTACCTCTTTAGATAAGTAATGGAGCGACTGAGTAAAATAAAAGAGCGCCAATTAGTGTTGGATAAGGAAGATTTTAAGGAAGAACAAGTGATTCGGACTGAAGACCAGAGGAAAGGTATGAAGAACAGTCAGCTAATTTATGAAGAAACCAAGAAGAATAATAATCAAGAAGACCGTGAAAGGTGAGACTAGGAGACCGCTGGAAATTATTTGAACAAATTGATATTTGGATTGAGAATTTAGAGATTTTGGGAAAGCTCAGGTTTTGGAGATTAAAAAAATTTTGAGATTTTTGAAATTTTTATGTTTCTAGAAATTTCTTGTTCTTTAAAGTACAAAATTTAGACCAAGATTTCAGGAAAGCACTTTGGATAGTGAAGTGGATTTTAGGAATAGGATGGAATGTGAAGAGGAGACTAAAATTGAAAAGATTCAGATGATTAAGATTTCTTACTTTAAGCTCATTCTAGTCATGCTTCCTCTGATATTCTTGAGTTTTGGATTAATACTCCTTCTCTTATATTGGTTCATACCATTGAGAAAGTTATTATTATTTTCGAAAGTATGACAGCTGGATAAAGCTACTCATTTGTATATCTCTGATTGCAAGGGTGAAACAGAGATTGTAAAGCTCATAAAGGGTAAGGTCAAAAATAGAAGTAAGATGAGTTCTAAATATCCTTACCACTCTGAATCCATAATTATGATGGCTTAACTTTGAAATATGTCTTGTAGTTACCTTACATGATAGATAAGATATCAAAATATTTTATGCATTTACTATTGGTAGTCATAAAACTCTAATAGCTATTTAGCAACCATTTGCATCTTAGCTTAGATATAAAGTACCTCTCTTCAGTGCTTTGAGGAAATAATTCATGATCTTTTGTAAAATTTAAGGCATGTTTCTAAATTTCTGCAAGATATTAAAAATTTACATATTAATTATCTATAAGAAATACACCACAAAGCAATGAGGTTTTAGCTTTATTAGAAACTTGATAGGATTACTTTTCAACTTGATGCTAATGTATTCACTGCAATAAGCCTTTCTCTTCATCCTTGTGGTATAGAATATAACCATCAAAACTTGAAAAGAAATAATTTGTACATTGAGCAACAAGATGAAGACTTAGAAGGAAGAAAATGCTGGTTTGTCTTCAGATTAACTAAGTATTACTACAACCAAGTTAATAGAGCATTCTTTCCTGCTGAATTTGACTATAAAAAGACTTTCTCTGATCTTATCAGCACCTACTCAAGAGGAATAAATGAAGGAGAGGAGCATTTAGAAGCTCTGGAAAAATATGGAAATTGAAGTATTGAGCTTCCTGATAAAGGAATCTTCACTTTATTTGTAGAAGGGGTCTTCTCTCCATTTTATATTTTTCAATTTTTCAGCTTTACGATATGGCTTTTCGATAATTACGCCTTTTATGCTACTTTGATGATCATTATTTCTATCGTTTCGATATCGCTGGAATTGTATGAGCTCAGGAAAAATTTCAATAATCTTAAGAAAATGGCTCATTATGAATGTCATGTGACTGTGAAAAGAATTGATCATGATGGAAACACAATAAGAAAACTCATTTCAAGCAACTTTATAGTCCCTGGTGATGTCATTAATGTTCCTGAAAATATGAAAATGCCTTGAGATGCGATTCAGCTGACAGGATCAAGTATCACAAACGAGTCAATGCTAACAGGCGAGTCTGTGCCTGTTATTAAGAATCCGCTCCCAATATTGGATACCGAAATTTACACTCCAGAGGAACACAAAAATTACACTCTGTTCTCAGGGACAGAAGTAATTCAGAATAGAAAGCTTGGTGAGGAAGAAGTAACAGCACTAGTAATTGGCACGAACTTCAACACAATGAAAGGATCATTAGTAAAATCTATCCTGTATCCGAAGCCAAGCAGGTTCAACTTCTTTGCAGATAGTCTGAAATTTATTGGAATTTTGTCAATTTTTGGCATCCTTGGGTTTTTGATAACACTTCGTACTTCTCTTGAGTACTTATCAACATATACAACAGTCTTAAAAGGCTTAGAATTGATCACAACTTCAGTGCCTCCCATCCTCCCATCAGCAATGAGTGTTGGGATCTTATTTGCAGTGAGTAGGCTCAGGAAACAAAAAATTTATAGTATCGATCCAAAGAGAATCGATGTAGCTGGTAGAGTCAAAACTATCGTATTTGACAAAACCGGCACTTTGACAGAAGACTCCTTGAAATTTTCAAGTATTGTTTGTGCTGGCAAGCAAAAGTTTTCTAACGAAATCACTGATGCTACAAGTCTGGGAAACTCCTTAAAGAATGACTCCCACAATCCTGTAGACATTGGGGATAATGATGTTGAGTCGAAAGTACTAGAATGTATGATTACTTGCCACTCAGTAGCCCAGCTTGATGGCCAGTTTATTGGAGATCCACTAGATATTGAGATGTTTAAAGCAACAAAATGGAAAATTTGTGAGAAACAGAGTGTTGGGAAAAACAATATTGTTGAACTTGCCCATTTTGAACCAGAAAATCATCAACAAGAAGGTAAGATTATTTTACTGTACTGTAGAGCCAAATTGCTTATAAGGAATCTTTCTATTTCACAAATGTTCCTTCCTTAAAGGCTAAAAGGAGTATGTGTAATTAAACTCTAAATATAGATATGAAGCTTGAAGGCTTAGTCAAAAGTCCAACAGCATTCCCATCTCCTATAAAAACTATGAGAAAATCATCTAATTTATTTAATAGCTCATCTTGCTCATTTAGCATTGTGAAAAGGTTTGAATTCACAAGTAGTTTGCAAAGAATGAGTGTTATATCCTTAAACAAATTAACAGTCTCTTATACTATTTTTGTCAAAGGATCTCCAGAAATGATTCATAACCTAAGCTATAAGGAATCTATTCCTGAAGATTATGATAAAGTTCTTGAGAAATATACAAGAGATGGCCTCCGAGTTCTCGCTCTTGCTTTCAAGATTGTACCTGACTTGGATCAGAATTGGATAAATGAATGTAAAAGAGAAGAAATTGAGCAAAATTTATGATTTATTGGCTTCTTGATTATGGAAAATGAGATAAAGAAAGAAACAATCCCGAGTATTGTGAAGCTTCAGAATGCCCAAATTGACACCCTCATGGCTACTGGAGATAATGGACTTACAGCTGTAGCTGTCGGCCGCAACTGTCATATCATTAACAGGGAAAAAGAGTGTTATTTTGCAGATCTAGTAAAACTCCAAAAGAACTCATACGGGATCAAATGGACTTGTTTTGATAGAAAAGTATTAACTGAGCAAGCCCAAAAGTGTTCTTTTCCTGTATGTTCTAAAGAGATTTCATGTATAAGAATTTGTTTGAAATATAGCTACTGAGGCATTCAGAAAAGAGGCAAGCATCAAAAATAATGATGTGGAATTCACAGACAGTAGCTTTCTATAATTTACTATTTAGGTTTGCAAAACGAGAAGAAAAGTCTCCTCCAAAAGGCTCCTTGGGAGGAATCTGGGGATAGAAAAGTTATTAAGAATTACAACATTGCTATTTCTGGCAATGCATTTGAATTCATGATGCAATCAATTAAGGAAGATTCAACTGAAGATGAGGCTAAGATAATCTATAAGGATATAATTGCTCAAGCTAAGATCTATGCAAGAATGTCACCTGATCATAAAGCATTGCTTGTGGAACATCTTCAAGATAATTCTAAATATATGATCTCAATGTGAGGAGATGGTGCAAATGATTGAAAAGCCCTAAAAACATCTGATGTGGGCTTATCTCTATCAGAGGCTGAAGCTTCAATAGCTGCTCCTTTTACCTCTAAAATATCGAATATAAGCTCTATGATAGAACTGCTAATAGAAGGAAGAGCTTCCATTGTTTCAAGCTTTACTATGTTCAAGTTCATAGTCTTGTATTCAATAATACAAACTATTTCTGTTACAATATTATATGGAATAAGTACAGATTTAGGAGACTGGCAATACCTCTATATTGATCTATTCATCCTGGTAGGTTAATTTTTCTATTGTTTTAAAGGACACTATTTTCTGTAAGGAAAGCACAATGCGAATATTTCCTCTTTATTAGTCTTATAATTCAGATGAAATACAAGAGATCATTTAATTTTCTTCCAAATGCATGCAAACCTAATACACAGAGTATAAATTTATACCTTTTGAAATTCTCCACAATTTGGTTTCAGCAAAAATGAGAAAATTTGTAAAATACAAAGAGAGAAGCTTTATTCGCCACATTTTCTAAATTCCTTCATAACCTAACCCTATATTTAGACTCAGGTTATAATCCATATGCCAAGAACAGGCTCTTTGCCTGAACTATCGAACCATGTCCCATTGAGTAACTTAACAAGTATTGAGAATCTTATGAGTGTGGTATCTCAGATTTTCATTCAGGGAATTTTCCAGCTCAGCCTTCTCTTTATCCTCCAAGCCCAAGAATGGTACATCCCTTTGAAGAAGAATAATAATAAGGTCTATAATGGGTATGAAAACACAAGCATATTCTTATTTTCATGCTCTCAGTACTTAATTACAGCTCTTGTGTATAACAAAGGGAAGCCATTCAGAAAGCCAATGTGGACCAATTGGGGACTACTATCAAGTTTTGTCATCATAACCGTTGTGAATTGGGGTGTAAGTCTTTTTATTTTTCGATTGAATAATTTTCTGAGCTCACTATAAAAGATTCTCAAACTAAAAGTTTTCCTTATTATAATACTATATGAAGCAATGGCTTATTAATAATATAGGTTTTGATAATGTTCCCTCCATCAATAGCATCAAAAATTTTAGATTTAAAGGAAATTAATCTCAGCTGGAAGCTCATTTTGATAGGATATTCTATCTGAAATCTCTTGGTCAGTTGTCTTTGAGAAAGAATCTTGGATTGAGTTAATCAAAGAATTCATGCCAAAAGAGAATTTACAAATTAATGCCTTGTGAAGACATGTTAGATTGCTCAATTTAATTTTTATATCTTGGGGTTTTGGGGTTTTGGGGTTTTGGGGTTTTGGGG